GAAAACCCAGGAATAAAACTTTGAACTGATAACTTGTCACACACTATATCACTAGAGTAGGCCTCTTCATTAGGGAAGCATTACAGAGTTAGATACCTGTTTGCCATACTACTTTACCCCACTCACCAAAAGTTTAGGATCGTTACGTTGAGGAGCTTATCACTATTATATCAGCTACATGTTAGTAATAACTTATCACTATTATATATGCTGTACATTAGTATACACATTATAACAGAGTGGGAAACACTTCTATTTTCCTTTTAGAAAGTTTAATCTTTTCATTCAGAGGCATGCAACATTTTTTAAAGACTTTGAATAAACTTTTCCCTTCTCAAATGGACAATGGGCAGAAATACCAGAATTTCAGCAACAGAGTGGTAAATCCCATTTTATGCAATCTTTCTAAATTTGTTAATGATCACAGAAGATCATAAGGCAATTTGCACAAACACCTTAAATAGGTCCTTTAACATTTCATGTCCTGGTCTCCTGGTACTTTTTGGTTTGTATTATCTAAACATAATTATTAAACATTGACCTATAATTTGCTACTTAGCCTTGATTTTAAGCAGATCCAATAAGCTGATAGACTTTTGGCTTTGTATTCATCAAATATTTCTAAGTAAAACAGGAAGGGTTTGTGAAAATGTTCAGTGGTATTTATAATGCCCTCCCCCCCAAATAGTATGGCATGTAGCTGCAGGGTTTTAGATAACAAAACTCTCTCTGATTTCATATAAAAGCTTTTAATCGGTAACTACAGTGTTTAACAGTTGAACAATCACTATAAATATCTCTGTGTATATGCATGTGGAAATTAGAATAATTTTTGGTCTGAAGTACATATTTGAAACAAAAAATTACCACAGCATTCAATTACCATGTACCATCAACAAGTAACATGCAAGTTTGCAACATAATAGAAGAAATGATGGAAGCTGGGAAAAGATATGTTAGAATAATATTTTTGGCTTCAATTTCTTGATTTTTTTGCACTATATTATGTTTGTGTATTTTCAGAGTTAAAAGAAGTTTTCATGCTTTTAGGTTTCTTTCTTTAAACAATATTCAGACTCAAAGCTTGGCTTTTCATTGAGTACACATTACATTCAGCTCACTGACCACCTGACAGAAAAGACACTACAAGATATAAACAAAATTAGATGTCCCAGTAATTAATAATTCAAGAGTTTTTCTTTAGATAAATGAGCTTTTTTGCATTCTGCATAGTTTTACTTACGTGATTCCACTTCATTTGTTCAGTTTTACAGTCAAGATAAACATAAGAAAATGTGACATGTAACACTGGCAGCATATCACAGAAAGATTAATTCTGAACAAGGACCTATTTAACAATTAGAAAAACAGTATTATCTGTAACATTACACCTTCCCTATCTCTGCTTCACTGCTGAGTTTCTTTCTAGTTCTAGTCCTCCCTGTTCTGTGAAGCTTTCAACGATACACTTAACCTCAAACACAGAGCAACTCAGATAGGGTTGTATAAAATATACTTTTATCCAAACTAGTCTGTTTTTTTCATCATATACTACAATGCCCTTCTTCAAAAATAAATTTAATTGTTCTTTGAATTCCTATACAAATAGTGCTGGAATTGCATTTCCAAGTTTACTTATTCTGTTTATCACTTTTAGAATAAAGAAAGTTCTCCAGAGTTCCCTTATTCATTCTTTTAGTTTCTTGGCATTGGATCAAATTCTGATATCTTTACATAGATCATTTTTGGCAGATGTCATTCATTTCAATGGGACATCTTAAAAGTGCCTAATACAATAACCATTGAAATCAGCGAGTAAGAATTAAATAAAATGAAACAAGATTTTCAGGATTGTGGCATTCTAAATTATGGTCACTATTTTTTACCTCCATACATACTAATGTTAAAAGTGTATTTTTCTTTTTTCTTCAAGTCAGTTAACAACTTTAAAAGCCTCTAATATGTCTCTTTGAAGAGTACTCCCCCTTTCCCAACATCAAGAGAGATCTTAGCTCCCTTAAATTTTCCTTATAAGACAGATTTTTAAACTCTTTCTTGCTCTGTGCCCCTATCCAAGTGTTAACCCTCCTTGCACTGGAAAGTGATCAGTGCAGTGTAGGCCCAGTGACAGGTGAAAGGGGGTAACTGCCCCAGGGCCCAGCTATTCAAAAGGGCTTAGGGCTGCTGGCGGCTGCTGCTGCTGCTGCTATTGTGGCAGTAGCAGCAGCAGTGGCAGCCAGAGCCCCAGGCCTGTTAAATTGCTGCCAAAACACTGCATAGCACTCTCCAAGTAGTTCTGAAGACTGCCTGGGTGGGGGGGACATGGTGCCATATGGTCCAGGCAGTACTGAAGGCTCACTGCCTCTAGTCCTACCCTTCCGGGATTGTAGAGCTGCCCTATCCCACCTTGCTTCAGAGCTTGGCAAGTCTGTTGTCTCCTCTGCTGCTGTGTACAATATTCCAGATGATGAGCTTTAACACGGTCTTAAAAAAGAAAAGAACCACTCTGAAAGCACCTCTGTACTCACACCTTTATATACCATTTTAAGGTTTATACCATTTGTACAAAATATGCCTTGTGAGGCTTCATTTGAAAACTATTAACTTGCTAGTCAATAATATCATGGAGAAATGTGTATAGCATTGTTAGATGTAAAGTTATTGAATCCTCCTCTATGATGGTGTTAGCACATGTTCAAAACCACACAGCCCTACATATGCCAAGTTGCCAAACAAGCATGTCCTAATCAAAGGAATGTGTCTTTACCTCATTTTGGGGGAGGAGATGGCAGAAGACAAAGCAAATTTGCATTTTAACAAACATAGTGAGAAGAGAGTTCCTGGATCCTTCTTTATCATCAGACCCTACCTGACCTTCTTTTCTACCTGAATAAGCTCAGAAAAATCCACTGTAAAGGTTTTTGGACTATAAAAGGAGGGGTAGAGAACCTCAAATTCTTCCTCTTTCACCAAGGCAACAAAGGCAGCAGCACTGTTGGGCATCTGGGAGTGATCCTGGCCAAGGAAAGGTCACCATATTACTGGAAAGATTGTGAGTGAGAGAGAGGCTATTTTAAACAAAGACATGAACTGAAACTTGCTATATTTAAGTTTTAGACTTTTAGATGAGTGTTTTCTCTATTTGCTTGTAATCGTTTTTAACTGTCTCATATTTGAATTCACTTAAAAATCTTTCTTTTTCTGTTAGGCTATACAGAAAAAGCAATGCAAATTGCATATCACAATTTGTGTAGCATTTTCCAATTGCTTTTCCAAAGGAAGCTTTTCTACCATTTGGCCCTGTCTAGATGGCACCAAATGGCAGAAGAGCCTCCTCTTTTAGAGGAGCCCTTATTCCTCATAAAATGAGGTATCCCGGAAAAACACTGTAGTGTAGACATGGCCTTAATGATTGTGTTAGATTTTAAACCAATCCAGTGCTCTGTTAAAACTGAACTCTTCAATAACATCAGTGAAAATAGCAATCTGTTGAATATTGATTCTTTATAGGCGCACCAAACCTTTTATAACTGAACTGTTCAGGGGAGGGCTGGGGAGAGCAGAACACATGTTTTTGGAAATATCTGTGACAAGGATTACATTGAGGTCATCCTGCAAATAGTACCCCAGGCTGGTGAAAGCCAGAGTGTAAATGGTATATTGCTGACAGGTTGTTGGGGTCAGAGCTGCTAGGTCAGTTATACACAGAGACACTAGGAGTGTGACCTGCATGCTTTTAGGCTGTTTGTGATCAGCTCACTTTGGGAGCTATAACAACAAAGCACTGTGAGGCACCCAAAGTTACCAGGCAAGGGACCCTTCATTTGCACTGACCCCAGAATGTGACAATCACCTTCTTTGTTTTATAGCTTATAACACAACCTAGTATTCTCTTTGTCATTTATATCATCACTGTAGGGAACTCAGCCTGACTTTCCATTTTTGTCATCACTGTATAGTGAGTTACTAGTTTGAATGGGTTTTCTGTAGTGAACCCTAAATTACTTTTGAAAACCACAGGGAAGATATATTTGGCACATTCTCTAAACTATTTTTTTTTCTAATTTTCTGTTTGCTGAATTGCACTTGGCACCTGTTATTGAATCCAGATCTATCAGAATTGTTCTTCCCATTTTGTGACTCCAGAGGCCAAGCAGAGATGAAGGACTAAGGGGTATGTCTGCACTGCTTTTAGATACTCATGCCTGGTTGTGCCAGCTGACTCAGCTTGCAGGGTTTAAGAAAACAGTTTAATTACTGTGTAGACAGCTAGACTTT